CGCGGTGGTCAGAAGAGAACTGGCGGGGTTGTTGTGCCCCTCCCTTGGTCATGCGCAGTGGGGCCGGCGCGTGACTGGGGAGCGGGCGCGAAAATCTCTTTCACTTTCAAGAGGAACCGATCGAGGTTGGCGCAGGGGCACTATATCCCAGAGGTGTGATGCACAGAGACCACGAAGAAGATCTACAAACTTCGATTATTTAAGAATGCTGATGTGGATGTCTGCACTTGTGTGGAAATGGTCCTAGCCAGTCCATATCCAAATGTTATAAGGAATCTCATGTAAATTAGAGGGAGAGCCAGTGTGGTGAAGAGGTTAAGAGCCGCAAATGCTAATCTGGAGGGCCAGGTTGGATTCCCCACTCCTCCTCCCCCTCCACGTGGAGCCTGCGGGGTGAACTTGGGCCAGTCACGGGTCTCTCAGGACTCTCTCAGCCTCACCTGCCTCACAAGGTGACCATTGTGGGGAGAGAAGGGAAGGTGATTGTAAGCCACTTTGAGACTCCTTCAGGTAGAGAAAAGGGGGGTCTAAAAACCTCTTCTACCCTTTTGAGGTTAAAAGAATGTGCTTGGATTGAATTTTAATCAGTTACTTTCAGAAGTCATGTACATTCACTGCACCATCTCCCGGCAGATTATCCCATGAGCTTTGTGCACTCATTCTGCCAACTCTCACCTCCCGTACGATTCTTTCTGTCTTTTGGAGAGGCCATTATCAAACTGTGATTGAGCTGCAGATGTGTGCACAGAGTTTCTGATTGCTTCCTCAGTTCACCAGAAGTTAAGTCTCCTTAGGAGGAGAGGTATTGAATGTTTTGACTCTAGGGAGCCTGAGCCCCAAATAGCAGGCTTCGGCTTTCTCGGGGTTGCCAACTCCATGGTTAGGAATTCCTGGGGATCTGGGGTGTGTGTGTGTGGAGGGGCCTCAGCAGGGCACAGGGCCACAGAGCCCCGCCCTCCAAAGCAGCCCTTTCAACAACTGGTCTCGGGAGTATGGAGGTCAGTTATAATTCTGGGGGATATCCAGCCCCCGCCTGGAGGTTGGCAAGCCTATGCTTCCTTCCTGTCCACCCCACCCACCCCAACCCAACCCCATAATTGTATTCAGATGACAAACGCTGCCGAGTGCGTTTGAGCTGCAAGCATTTAGTCTGTGCAACTGGAGCCACTGTGAGATTAAACAGTCCATTAAATATTACTGAATAAAAATAAATTATTACGGTGCATTTATTAAGACATCCTGGTTCCGAAGCCAAAGCAGGGCACAGAAATGGACACCAAGCATGGCAGGTGAAGGACGCCTCCTGCCCGGCTGTCCCAGAGCTCCTCGCCACGGGCATTCGGCCCCTCACTTTACGAGAGCCCACCATGCTTTTCTGGAGAGCAGGAGGCCAGTTGCCAGACACCCTCCCTGGCCTGACTCAGGCAGCTGCTTCATCTCTTGATAACCAAGAATGAATTAACTTCAATTAGACTTCAAAATTACAAAGCTTCATCAGCTTTCCTTAAAACGGCTCCGGCTACAATGATCTCGTGTCTAATTCCCAGCCCTTGTCTGGGCAGTCAATTGCTCTGCTGGGCAATTACTGCTCTCCCCCCCCCCCGCCTCTTTGAGGGGCAAACAGGGGCTTCTGCAGGACGGAACGTTCCTGGCCCCCACCCCAGCCTTGAAGAAGGCCACCCTGGAGGGGGGTGTGTGCGCTGTCCGGGGAAGTCCAGCCAGCCAGTCAGCCAGTTTATTGTTACAGTCCTTAGACCAGTCATACGAAAAAGAAGTATACCTTTACAATATTCCAAAAATTTAAAATACATCCATAAAACATTAATAGCAGATTAAAATTTAATCTAATAGCTAACTGCTGTGACTACCTAATTACCATATTATTTCTGTAATCTGAGTATCGCCACACAGCAACTGGCTACTTTGGTGCTCCCAAAGAGAGCCTTGGGGATGAGATGGTGACAGGCAAGTGACTCTTGTCACCCTCCGCCGTCCCGAACCTTTTTGAGCCTGCGGGCGCGTTTGGACTTCTGATGTGGCTGCAACAAACTGGCAACCACAAAATGGCTGCCGTGGGAAGTGGAGACAGTCACAAAATGGCTGCCACAGCTTAACTTCAGTGACACGGTGTAGATCCTGGTGCTGTGGCGGCAGCTGCCACCACCACAGCAACATTCTAAAAGATCTGCCCAGCCCATCGAATCTCCGACAGTCAATGGAAAGCCTTTCTGGGCAGAAGCCCCACCTGGCCCTGCCCACTCCCTAAAAACACTCGGCGGGCACGTTGGGGACCCCTCTTAGCAGGCCAACTGGTATCGATTCAGGTAGGGTGGCCACAAGTAGCCCGCAAAGAGCACCTTGCCCTGCTCTCCGGCTGACGGGCTGGGGAAAAGTGTATGCCCCACCCAGGCCTCTTCCCACCCCGACAGCAATACCATCATGACAGACTGCTGTGTTAATTCCAGTCGGTGGTTAGTTACCGTTTTTATGGTGGACAGTTTACTGATTGTACTTTGAGGGTCTACTTCATGTAGAAAAGAAATCTGAAGGTGATGGAGGAGGAAGAGGAGAAGAAAAGAAGAAGAGATTGGATTTATACCCCTGGCCCTTCACTCGGCGTCTCGGAGCGACTTACAATCTCCTTCCCTTCCCCTCCCCACAACAGACACTCTATCAGGTAGGCGGGGCTGAGAGAGCTCTTTCGAGGACTGCTCTTGAGAGAACAGCTCTGAGAGAACTGTGACTGACAAGAGATCCGGTAGAGGCGGCAGATGGCTCAATTCGCTGCTCCTAGACATAAAGTAGTTTCATCTTAGTTTTACGTTATCTATTATTTCTAAGGACTGTGACCGTCCCAAGGTCATCCAGCCAGGCGCAAGTGGAGGAGTGGGGAATCAAACCCAGTTCTCCCAGATTAGAGTCCGCCACTCTTAACCACTACACCAAACTGGCTCTAGTATAGTTTATGCCTGTAATCATAACTGGACCCCAGGCCTGCAGCTAGATGATTGTAGGTGGTGGGGGGCACTGGATGGAGCACACCCCCCCCCACGCTGTTTGTCAAACTCACTGGGGATGAAGAGGGCTCTTCAGGGTGCTGGGGCCGGGTTTCCACAGGGCAGAGTGGGAGCACTCCAGGCAGGGTGGATCCCGGGCAAGCCCCGCCCACTCCCCTCCGGTTGCCTCCCTCACAGAGCTGGCCAGGCCGGGGACACCCAACGGGAGCCCATGCAGGGGCCAAGGCAGGCAGATGCCTCCCTCCCGAGCCTCGCCGTTGACGAGGGAGAAGCTGCCAGTTGAGCTGGAGCCCCCACAGCGGCACCCGCAGGCTGAGCCTCCTTCTGCAGCTTCCAGCCTCAGCTCCCCTTGTAAGACAATGTCCATGAGCCTCACGTGGCACCCAAGCAAACAAACCTCCTGCCTCTGTTGGGTAAGAGTACAGAAACACTGGGGAACTCTCCCTGTTCTCATCTTGACTCTCTCTTCGGCATGAACGAGACGCGAGATGCTAAACTCATTTTCCCCACTGCTAGTCTCCAAAGAAATAGCTGCTTTGTTTGAAATGCATTTGTTTTCCCGGTATATTTAACCTTCCCCAAATCCATTTCTCTTTAGATAGAAAAACACTCAGACATCACTGGCGTCTATGTGGAGGAAAATGTTCTGCACAAAATGGGATTAAAGATCTTCAGTGGCCAAAACAGGCAAAGGTTCTTCCGTTCTGCTTGGATGCTGTTTTCTTAAACTGTGTTGATGGGCATAAGAACATACGCACATGCAAAACAATTACCACGGGTGGCTAGTAATGGAGCTGATGAAATCAATGCCACGTTGAGTTAACATACTAGATCAGCGACCGCCGGAGCGGTGCCTACGGGTGCCATCATGGCACCCACCAATGTGTCTCTTGGCCCTCGCCCACTCCTCCCCCACAGCAAAGAGTCAGCCCTGGCTTCCCTCCACTCCCCTGGAACGGGAAGCTGCTTCAGAAGGCCCCTCGGCTGCCTCCCCAGCAGCAGGAGGCTTGGCACCTTCTGAAATTGCCTCCCGTACCAGTGTGGTGGTAGCCCCTGCCGTTGTGATACCAGAGGGGTGAGGGGCTGCAGATGAAAGATCACGGGGGGGGGCGTTCCTGGGGTTCTGGGGGAAGATTGCCTTCCCAGGGAAGAGAGCCATAAAAGGTGCGAGAGGGTCGGTTGGAGTGGAGAGGAGCTTCTGTGAGCAGATGACCCTCTGCTCTGCCTGCCAGGGAGGACAAGATGCTCAGCTGCTGCTGAAGCATGTGCTGGGTATGGGGAGCCATGGGGCAGGCCCTCCTCCTCCTCCTCCTCCTCAATGACTGGGAGACAGAGGTCCGCCATCCCATGTGGGCGGGGGGGGCACTCCCTAACTCTGGACTGGGCAAAGAACTTCCAGCCGGCCACGGCAGGGAGGGCTAGGATGGGTGAACAAGCCGTTCATGTCCTTCGAACGTTGGGAATTGGGTTCTCCTGCATGGAGCAGGTGGAGAGTCGGGATCAGCCTTTATTTTCCGCAGGCACCCACAGTGGAGATGCGAAGGAAGCTTCTGTACTGTCCAGGTTGCCTTAGGTCTTTTCTTAGACCTGCTGTCGCTAGTAGGCATGGCAGTCCGTTCCCCTTGTCTTGTGCTCTAGCTTAATAACCTGTAGTTAGTAAAGTCCATCTCGTTTGAGAGAGCAGATTCCGTTTCAAATGCCTCCCTGCACGCCTAGGCGGCCCTCGCTCGCTCGCTCGTGCACGTGCTTAGAGGCAGCCTTTCCTAGTGCCCTCCCCCCCAGCCACTGGTAAACATGGAAGGTTGGATTTAGTTCGGGGTGGTGGCACCGAGGAAGAACCAGCTTACACGCGTGCAAACACAGGAATGCAGCGCGGGCTTATGACTGCAGTCCCTACCACTTCTCACAATCCCACAAGTGCCCACAGGCCCTGGATTCAGATCCAGTGCAGATCCCAGCCCTCTTCCTGCAGGGCAGACCCACCTGTTCCTGGAGGATTTTCAGCAGGGCCTGCGTGTGCGTGTGCTCCTCTCGTGCTCGCTCCAGTTCTGATTTTTTGTTGTTCAACTCCTCTTGGATTTTCAACAGTTGCTGCGTGAAAGAAAAGATGTTTCCCATTATTAATGTCTGAGCCCCTGTGAATAAACACCCAGGACTGCAAAGCTTTGTGAAAGCAACGTTTTTCAAGTTTGTTCCATTTTCTGTTTTTATTGCTTTGACTATTATGTCTAAGTTGAACAAGACATAAATTATATCTGTCTGCATTTTCTGCCTCTTGCCAAGGAGATGCATTTCTCTTAATGTAACAAATCGCTTAACCACACATTAAAACACAAACTCCTGGCGTGGTGCGTGCCGTTCGCAGCGGAGCCGTCGCATCCGTCTGAACCAAAGCTTTATTTGCAGAAGGGAGCAGATCCACTGGTTTAATAACATGGAGGTACGTGCTTCGGCCCATAAATAATTCACAAACACAGCCCTTTAATATAATTAGTTACTGGCCCAAAGCCATCTCATTTTGCACAAAGCTATAATCCGAAATGTATTTATGCTGAGTTGCCAAAATGGCAAAAAAATAAATTAAAAAAATGGCTCCCCCCCAGGGGGGTGGGCTATGCTTGCAAAGTTTGATGATTACATCTGTGAGGCCAAAGCCATGCAAATCAATGCATCTGCAGAGGGAAGTGCTGAGCAGAATGGGGGAAAGACCAAAGGGAGCGTTCCAGGATGTTTGAAATGGACTTGATTGATCTCGTCCAGAGCTGAATGACGTCAGCGAGTGAAAACAGACCAGCACCCCAGTCTGTCCTCAGTGAGAAAATGCCTCAGAAGCCAATGAAGGGGAGCTGAAACTCCTGCCGCCACCCTCACTTACTTGCTTGCTTTGCTTTCACCCCACCTTTCTCCCAAAGCATCTTGCATCTCCCTCCTCTCCTCCATTTTATCCTCACAATACCCCTATGAGGTAGGCTGGCCTGAGAGACTGGAAGAGCATGGATTAAACCTGGGTCTCCAAGATCCTAGTTTGAAATGCTAAGCACTACACCACATTTTCAAAACTCTTCATGTCTTCGCTTATCTGCCCAGACACTGCACTGCCAGGCTGGCATTCTTCCAACTACGTCAGGCTTGGCAATTAGCCCCTTTCCTGTCTCCCCCTGACCTAGCCACTGTAATCCATGCCATGGTCACCTCCAGGCTGGACTACTATCACTCGCTGTACACTGGCCTGCTCTTGAGACTAACCCAGAAGCTCCAGCTGGTCCAGAAGGCGGTGGCGTGAGTCCTGGCAGGAACGCCATGGGCGGCACATATACAGCCAGGGCTACGCCAGCTACACTGGTTCCCAGTGGAGTACTGAGTCAGGTTCAAGGTTTTGGTATTGACCTCCAAGGCCTTGAGCAGTCTGGGATATTTGGGGCCGCCTCCTTGGTATATGTCCCCTGTGGAAAAGAACCTGCTGGCGATCCTTGGCCCCAAGGAGATCTGTCTGTCCTCGACCAGAGCCAGGGCTTTTTGGGTCTGGCCCTGTCCTCCTGGAACTCTCTGCCGAATACCACCGGGGCCCTGCGGGACTTCATGCAGTTCCGCAGGGCCTGTACGGCCTTTGGTTGAGGACAGCTTCCCTCCACCTTTCCACTTCGGCCTCCTCCTCGCCCTGCCCACAGTCTGGAGTGGGCTGAGAAGAAATGTTGATGCCATCTGAGATTCTGTAACGGATATATAGATTTTATTGATTTTAACATTGTCTTTAACTGCTGTGCATTGCCTTGTGCTTGCAGAGATTGGGTGATTCATAAATCCAAAACAAATAAATAAATAAATGAGTGATGGATTAGTCCTGAATCCGCTTACATATTATAACACAAAGGAGACAGGATCCTTGTCATCCATCATTTTGCATCTTGGTTTAAAAAGCTACAAAGCTGTCTTTGAAAAATGTTCCAAACAAAAAAAGATCACAACCAGAGTAGACGGAGGAAAGAAGTATTATTAAAGGTCTTTGGTCAATTAAAAAAAGCAACAAGAATCAGAGAAATGGCTCAGGCCGCCAAAGGAGTAAGTTCCACTGGACTCAATGGGGATCACTTCTGAATACAGACACTTAGGATTGCATGGGTAGTGTAAGTACTTTATTTAGATTAATAGCCATAATTTTAAAAACTAGTAATGATAAAGTAGACAATATAATCCACTCCTTAATAAATATCAATGCTACAGTTCAGGGGTACTACGGGACAGGAGGGTGTCCTTTTCCCTGGAGGGGGGAGGAAATGCAGAGTGTCTCAGTGATTCCGGCGTGCAAACTCTGCTTGTCCCTCCTTTCCTTCTGGAATTCTATAGGATGCTTGGCTGTCGTCCAAAAAACAATTCAGACCCCAGAAGCTCCCTCTCCCTCTCTCTGCACAGCTGACAACAAATTCACCCAGTAGAAGATGACAGCTGACCAGTCCCCTCCCCACTAGTGTGGCAAAGCAGATCTGAGTCCAGCAGCAGCTTAGAGACCAACAAGAATTTCAGGGGTTTTGGCTTCTGAGGCCAAGGTCTCCCAGCCCGTCCAATCAGGTCTCAGTGTTCCAAGAGCTCCAACAGAGCTCTTCTGGTAAAGGCAGTTGCCCTGCACAAGGAGAATTTCACTGTAGACTCTTCTGTTTGCACGGATGTACAATAGAGATGGGATTAATCTAGGACCTCTTCTAGGACTTTAGGAAGCTATCCCCCCAAAACCCGGGGGGGGGGGCTCTCCTTGGTAACGAGGGGACCACTGTGCAGCAGCCATCGGGGTCCCCCTCGGCCCTGGCCAGTGTCCCTCCTTGTTCGCATGTCCGCCTCTTGTGGCCTCATTTCCACTTCCAAGGCCAGACCTCTGGCTTCAACCATATGGGTCCCATAACCATCCCCTCAATGTGTTTTGCTGCCTCACCCACCATCTTGCTGCCACGGGGAACAGCCCTGGTTTGGACCCGACTGTCCAAGCTGTAGCTGTCTCTCAGAAAATAATAAATGTCCCCATTCAGTACCTCAGCGCCTGGATAGCACTTCTTGTGGAAATGTTGATTTTTGTAACCCACACAGAATGATTTCTTGCCCTTTTGGTCACAAGCAATTTAAGCATCGCAGAACAGAAAGCTCTTAATTGTCCAGCTACAATTGTAACCTAATTTGCAATTATCTCAGAGGGGAAAAGCCTATTCTGATTACATCCAACTATTCAATAATGCGGCTCAATTGATTCATTTGGAGTTACTCTAGAGGGACGGGGAGGGGCCTCTGGCCAGCGCCTGGAATAGCTGTGAGAGGCTTGGCAAGCGGCAGCCACGCAACCTCCGTCAAGGGACACGGAAGGGGAGGCCGGCAGACGTCTTCCTGAATCCTATACCACCTAAATACGGACCCTGCACATGTTAGAGAGACAAGGGGTCGAGTTAGCAGCGGCGGGGGCGTGGGTGGGTGGGATCCCAGGGGATTCTTGCCATGAAATACACACCCACACTAAGAAAAGCTATTCCAGAGAGGGTCTTCTCCGGCCCTTGGAGAGTTCAGGGCAAGGGCGGGGCACCCAATTCCCACCCCCACCCCCAGGTGCGGCTCATGCAGAAGTCCCGGGCTGACCTCTGGGGGCTTCTCTCTCTGCCCGGCAGGAAGGCTGAGCACAGGACCAGTCGGGAAATGGCTGCTCTAAACTCTGCCTCTGCAATGGACTCATCTGGCCTTGGCTGCAGGCAAGCCACACACCCCCTTGGCCTGCAGTATGGAGATAACCCGAAAGGCCGACCTGGCAGGATTACTGTGAGGACCCTAACAATTATGCTGTGAGATAAGTGAGCCTTCTAAAGTACATGTATGAAAAAGTTGGAGATCGAGCACATGCCAAGACAAACAGTGATTTGGGTTTTTTTGAGGGGGACATAATAACCCCCCTCCCCCCACCCCCCACAGAACTCTATTTCGTTAGGCATTCCCAACTGACTTCCCATATCTGAGCCTGGCCAGGAATAAAGACCAGAATAAACCAAGGGAGAGGCAGGATCTGGCTGACCTCATTTGAGTTGAAAATAAAGCTTCCCCCTTGCTTTCTCCCCACATGAACAGAAGGGGCTGCCCTTCCGGGGCCGACTTCTCTTCTGAGGCTGCCTCACGTCTGACCATGCCATGACAGCCACGGAAAGACCTCAGGCCGTCTCCTAAAGCCCCTTTCCACACAGCAAGGCTTTCCTCTGGAGCCCCAGGGTGGCAGCAGCAGCTGCCCGTGCAGTGCAGTGACAACACGGTTTCCAGCCAAGGACGGAAGATCCGATCTCTCCTCAGCACTGAACTCCGCTGTCTTGCCTGCTCTGATCTCTTGCATATGCATGTGCTGTACTCCTAGGGGAGTGAAGCCTGACCCTCTAGTTACCCCTCACTGCCTTGGGAGTTGTGTTCAAATGCAGCAGAAGTATGCTAAAGACATAAACAAGGATCAAGATGGGTAGCCACGTTAAGTCTGTCTGTAGATTAATATATATATTCGATGTATGTATTTATTATGTACTTGTGTATTCATTGTGTATTTTATTCTTCTTCTTGGAAACGTTCTATTGGCTGGTCGCTTGACCGTACTAATAAACTTGACTTGACTTGAGAAAAGAGCAAGAGTCCAGTAGCACCTTAACAAAATTTGTGGTAAGGTATGAAGCGAGCAGTGAAGAAGTGAGCCGTGACTCATGAAAGCTCCCCCCCTGCCGCAAATGTTGTTAATCTTTAAGGTGCCACCGACCTGGCTCTTCCCTTCCCCCAATTGTATTCGTCAATTTCCCACTGCTTGCTGCCTGGCTGCATCCTGACCCCCGCAGTATCCCCCGATTTCCCCTGAGTCTTCTTGATCCTTGTTTTTACAAATACAATCGGGGGGGGGGGGGGGAGAGCAAGGGCAGCGCAGCTTCTTGTGGGAAATCGGTCATAATTTTCCCCTCTGTGCTCAGAAAGTATGGAGCCGTCTGTCCCTTCCTACCTGTCACTGGGAGAGGGAACAAGCTGCGGCCTCTCTGCCTCTCTGCCCCCTGCCCCATCTGTCTGCCAGCAGGTACAAGCAAAGCCCTTCTTCTGCCTGC